AAACTTCTCTGCAAAGTGCCGTTCGGCAATTGATTCAGCTGAGTTGGGGTTCTCCTCTTCGCTATCACCCTCTTCTTCCTCACAGTCGCGCGCAGTCCCAGCAGCGGCATCTTCACCTTCTTGGTCTGAGTTATCTGTGTCCACGATACTGTCTTCCTCAATCTCATCACCAGATTCAAAACCAGCGAAGTCGTCAGGGTCGTCTCCTTCTTCGATCTTGTTGAGCTCATCATCAGAATCACTTGACATGATACTGCTAGCTATAACACATAAAATACAGTGTATTATATACAGCGTAAGACCATGCAAGATGTATATACAGGATAGACTCATACACACCTTCTGACACGTGATGATCTCCGCTGACCCCATCGTGCGCGGTGGCTTCACCACCACTTTCATCTTCTGAAGAGCCAAAAAGAGAAGTTTCATGGGTTGTAGACGCAGTAGGCCCTAGCTGAAGCGTCCGCTTGTGTCGTGGTACCAACTCGTACTCATCCTCTTCGGACTCATCACATGCATCGTTACCTGCAACACATAATTAGATTTTAGTCACAATTGTATGACTATGGTTGGCGTACCATCGGTAGTATTCACCTCCCGGTTTGTTAGTGGCGAGGGTGTAGTCGAGTTAGACATAGTGGCGGAGGTGGAAGCTAGCGGCGAGGGGTCTACATTTGGAGGTTCATTTTCATCAACTGTTGTTGCCAATCCAGCACCGTCGCCACTACACACAGAAACTATATACCAAGTAACCTATACGTTAGACAAGTTTATGGAGTTGCAATCACACGTCATACTGTATCGTACCTTTCGCAGAAATCGCAGAGCTCTGCGCTCTCGTCGATTGAACTGCAGACAGTAACAAATATATTGATTAAAAACTGCAGCAAAAGGAAAACTAGTAGGCCTCGTACCGGCGGCGTAGTGTGCGAGCACACGGTCTTCACCCAAAAAGTAGTCCTTGCCCTCAATGCCGAATGGGTTTCCCCCAGGTGGTACAAATTTCCATCGAGTCTCGATCGAGCTTGCAGGGGGAGGCTTGTGCGTCCATCCGCTCGCTTTCAGTTGGCTCCAGATGAAACGCCAGGTTGGCGTCCCACCGTCAACGATCCGCTCAGCACGACGTTTTTCTCGCATAACACCCATTGTTCTCCGACTCGGCTAGTTCTCAAATGAAGAGGCTTGCTGGCCACTTAAAAACTCCCTCCAAAAAATGATACGTGGAGTGATGTTTGTGTCCACAACTCGTAGCAATTAATTTTCTAGAAAAATGAACAGAGATCGTGTTCCCGTCACCTTAGCTTTTTTTTTTGCACGGCGGACAGAAACTTCACAGAACCTTGACTGCATTTTTGTATGACCTGTTACAATGGCAGGCAGATAATAATATGCGAGTATACAAAAATCAAGTATAAGCTTAAATCTGGGCTGTATATATACAACTTAGATTAGAGGATAATCCTTTCCATAGGATTTGCTAACCCATCTTATACAGGCCATCGGGTTGAAGGGGTTAAGGACGGCTTCGTGCTTGACGATAAGTCCGCGGACTACCGGGATCGAGTGCTGGAGCATGGGAAGCGCGCCGAGGATGCCGTACTCGCCTACTTGAAGAAGGAGCACGGCATTAACTCCCGTGGGTCAAGTGCGGTCCTCAAGCATCTCCAGGGGATCCACAGCGCCGGCAGTCTAAATGCCATGATTCAACGCCATCGCCGACTTCTCCAAACGCCTGTAATTCAAGATTGGGGTTATGGCTACACGCAAGACGTACTCGAGGAAGTTAGTAAGTAGGGCAAACAATCGGAATTCATGTACGTTCACCCTTCTTCGAAGCGCATAGTCGCATCTACCGCGGCGCACACTCGTCGTTTATTGTGTTCGCTACCTTGAACTTCTTCGAGGC